GGAGGCTGAGGAGCGCAACTGGCTTTGGACGGCACGTCACAACGCCTGGTATGCACTCCTGGCCCTGCGGCCGAGCTGCAAGGTAAGTGGCTTGGTCCATGGACCATTTCCTCAGCCTGCTACTCTCCTGTCCAGAGCAGCAGGCAAGGCCCGCCCACAGTGGGAAAGCACAGGAGGGAGGCCCTGCCCCTGGCCAGCACTGGGCGCAGCATGATGCCCTCAGGAGCTGTGAGCAGAGGACAGCCCTCCTGGAGAAAGAGCCAACAGGAAGGGGAGCTGGGCTTCAGGCACACATGCAGAGGTTCTGCAGTGTGGGGTGTTGGGGGGCTGCACACAGCCAGGGGTGGGGAGCAAGGCAAGAGCTTGGAAAGCCTCTGCAGGCCAGGCCTGGAGAACTCCTGAGTCCCCTCACACCTGTTCTTAGCCTCCACGACAGTGACTGCTTACCTTTGTGCCTGCCCTGCCCTAGGGCTATTCCACCGATGTGTGTGTGCCCATCTCCCGGCTACCGGAGATCCTAGTGCAGACCAAGGAGGACCTGAAGGCCTCAGGACTCACAGGTTCTGCCTGCCCGCTGCTGGGGCACTGAGGGGAGAGGACAGGGCTGGGGGTGGGCTGGGCTGGGGGCAGCAGCTCTGTCCTCTGGGCCCCCAGGAGCCATTGTTGGACACGTGGGCGATGGGAATTTCCACTGCATCATGCTGATAGACCCGGAGGATGCTGAGGAGTACTGCAGGGTCAAGGCCTTTGCAGAACAGCTGGTCAGGTAGGCACAAGCCTGGGGGTCGCAGAGGGAAGGGCTAGTTGAGGGCGGTGGGAGGAGTCCCTGCTAAGACTCTCCCATCACTGCCTCCCAGGCATGCACTGGCACTCCGTGGGACGTGTACTGGGGAGCATGGCATTGGGCTGGGTAAGCGGCAGCTACTGCAGGAAGAGGTGGGCACCGTGGGCATGGAGATCATGCGGCAGCTTAAGGCCACGCTGGATCCCCAAGGGCTCATGAACCCAGGCAAGGTGCTGTGAAGGATCCAAGCACTTGACCCCCAAGCCCCCAGACAACGGAACCTCCCATCTAGAACCTTTCTTCATGCCACAGAACCACTCCGCCTTTGCCCAGACCCTGCAGGGTCTTCATCTTCCACCCTGCTGGGGGCCAGGGAAAAAGCCTGAGGGACTCGGCACTCTTAGCCCTACTCCACCTGTCTGGTGACTTTCCTGCTGTGGGAAGGGACCTCCAACTCCACTTTGAAAGGTCTTCTCTTTGAGCCCCCCAAATAAACCTGAACCCCATTTGCAGCTGTCTGGAGATGAGCAGGCAGCACCTGCGAGTGGCCTCCCATGCCCGTCCACCTCCTCCAGTTCTCTGTCCCTTGGCCAGTGACTCCCTCATCCCTCGTTCCAGGCCTGTCCTGACTTGTAGCCTGGGGAGGGGACGGTGCTCAGGCTACAGAAGGAACTCGGGTCCCTGTCCCACCTACTCTGTGAGAATCCCAGGGCCCGAGGACCAGCCCACGGCCAACATTGCTTATGACAGTTTCCCCCACTGAGCTTGAACTGGGCTTTAGAACACTCTGAACATGTTCTTTGAGCAGCTGCTACCAATCGCTGGAAATGCGAGTGAAGTTATTCTCCTTGTACCACTCCGTCTTCTCCTTGGTGTGATGTATTACACTGTCAGCTTTTCCCCCTCAAAGTCAGGATCTGTCTCCCCTGGAGCCTTCCCCCGCCTTGGCCAGGCCAGAGCCACCGGCAGTCATTCCCCCTAGGCCCACAAGAGGGCGCCCGGCGCTGTAAAGCTCAGTCATCGCAGCATCTGCATCCGGCAGTGGCGCCCGGGGCTCACCTCAGTCCAGGGCCTACCGCTCTCAGTCCAGCATCCCAGGGTTGGGGCGGGGCTTGGTGTTCTTGGAAGCCTGTCACTGACCACCACCTCCCTGCAGGTCCCAGGAGCCCATGGTGTGCACCCACCTCCCTCACCCCTCGCCTTGGCCCCTTAGGAAAGGGGCTGGGTGAGGGATGCAGCGGCACTTCCTATCTCCCCTCACCCCCCACTCTCCCAGGTGCTCCTTCCCTGCTTCCACTCCCTCCGCCCTTCTTCACCTGCCCTCCTTAGCTGTTCAGGCCCTGGGCAGAGGCCACCCCTCTATGCTTCCTCAGTCCAGGGCTGAACGCTGAGTTCACTCAGGGTTTGTGACGTTTCTGCTCCCTGGCTTCCCTGGATGGGAGCAGTAGCTATGCCAAGGGGTGGTGTGGGGGCAAGTCTCCTTGGCCCGCGCCCCAAGCCACATCGTACACTACGATCTAACCTCCAGCTCCCTGGCCCACTCCCCTCCCACCTGGACCACCTATAGGCAAGCCCTCCAGGGGAGAATTCTGCATTGGCAGGTGTCTCCCCCTACTGGGCAGGGCTCTTCTTTGATGTGCGCCCCATTGCCTGGCAATTAGTAGGTGCTCACTCCGCAAGTGGCCATTTCCTCACGCTGTTTTATTAGAAAAAATTCCAAGCATACAGAAGAGCTGAAAGACCAAGTACACTGTTCACTGACATACCAGCCACTGAAGATTCAACAATGAGTATTTTTAATACTTGGTTTGTGTATTTTGGGGGAGCCATTTGGAATTGAGTTACATGTTTCTTGACATCATTCACCTACATAATTTAGCACCTAACTCCTAAGAATAAGGACATTCTCCTACAAACCGCAACGCCACTAAATGGCCACTAGATGGTCCTAGTGAGCTGCCGCCCAGGAAGCTCCCCCAACGTGTGCTGGGCGCCTGCCGATTTCCTCCCCTCCCAGAAAGTATGAGCTCAGGAGAGCTGTCTGGATGCAGGACAGATACCAGTTCCACTCGGGAATCCCAAACCACCCTGGTCCTACCCCCACCCCACAAGCTGGCAATCAGGGTCTGAATTTGGAGAAGGCGGCCTCCAGCAGAGGGCTGCTGTGTGCCAGGTGGGAGTGAAAGTGGCTGGGGGTGGGGATAAGCACCAGCCCAAGAGCCTGGAATAGCACCCAGCGTGGGCTCCGGACTGCCCCACCCGGCTCACGATCACTCGGCTGTCCAGGTCACTGCCAAGGCTGCTGGGCTTAAGCCACTGAGGTGGGCACACAGGCCTCTGCCTGCAGGTCCAGGGGTCAAGCAAGGAGATATCCTTCAGGGCCAGCTTTGCCAGAGGAATTAAATATAGAACAGGGAGACACAGTTGCCAGGCAGAAGCAGGAGGTGCTGTGAATAGAACAGCACTCTTTGTGGTGATGGAGCTATGAGGGAGTCTGCTATGCATTTGCCAGGGGCTTCTGGGCAGGTTCTCTGACCCTCATGATGACCCCTGAGCTGCTTGACTTTGTCCTCACGTCACGTGAGGCATCTGAAGTTTAGATGAAGTCATCCTAAGATCGTTGTGCCAAGTAGAGGAGTCTGCATGCAGATGGTGTAGAGCCCATGTTCTTGCCATGATTGAGACAGTTGGTCCCTGGGGTCCCCAGCCCAGGTGGGTCTGATGCTCAGGATTAGACCCACAAGTTCTTTAGATTTTTCTGAACATGCTGAGTGTGCCGTGTCTTGGCTCACATTTGCCCACTGATTGAGACAGTTGGTCCCTGGGGTCCCCAGCCCAGGTGGGTCTGATGCTCAGGATTAGACCCACAAGTTCTTTAGATTTTTCTGAACATGCTGAGTGTGCCGTGTCTTGGCTCACATTTGCCCACCCTTGCACAGAGAAGGTGCTTCCAGAAACATCCGATGCAGACTGCAGAGCCAAGGCCTGGTGGGGTGACAGCCCACAGCACATGGGGGCTGAGAAGGGCAGAGTGGAGAAGGCGAGGAGTCGGCTCCCTTGCGAGCTGAGCTTCCCTCTGCAAGCTCTGCCAAGAGGCTCCACAATGCCTGCCGTTCGCTCCGGGAGCCTGTCTGGCATGGGGACAGGCTGGGTGTGCGCTGCCACCCCGTCCTAAGCTTCCCGCCCATCCGAGGTGTGCCAACTCTTGTGAGCCCTGAGTGGCTGGTTCTAGTTCAAGGGTTCTGAGCTGGCTCAGCCCCAAAGCAGGGCCTCTTTCTGGGCCTCCATGAAGCATGCCCATGAGTCAGCACTGAGCAACAGGCAGGGCAGGACGTGGGATGGGGAGCCGAGGATGAAGGGGGGCTGGGCCTGCACCTGAAAGAACCTGCATCCTTGTGGCCGCCAGAGCTTTGCCCCTGCAGCTTTTTCCCGAAGAGTCCTGTCACAACCACTCCACAGGTGGTGGCAGGCTGATCCCACGGTGGCTGAGAGGGTTGGCAGGCGTTAGGACTCAGCTCTGACCTGCCACGTTCCCTCCGCCCAGGCGTGACTGCTCGGAGAACCGCTTCACACTCCCTGGGCCCACAGCAGCCTGAAGGGAGGCGAGGAGGTAGGCGAGGGGGTGCGGGACAGGCCTTCAACCCCCGCTCTTGACTGGGTAACAATACTTCATTAAAATAAAGTCACACAGTGCATCTTTTATTAGACATTATTTTAATACCATATCAAAACACCTTGACTAATGAAGAAAGCTTTTCCCCCAAGCTTTGAACATTTTTTTAAACATTTTATAACTTTTTTTTTTGTATTTTAATATATAAATACAGAAACCTATCTTGCATGGGCTGATGCCACGTGTGAACATCAATGGCTAAAATGTTCTCAAACAGAGCGCCTGAAAACAGGGGTAGCTGTACATATTCTTTTAATAAGTCTTTTGTTTATCTAAGTTTTCTGGAAAAGAAAATCCACACAAGGGTCTAAGAAAAATATTCAGGCATTTTTGCAGGACACTTGTGATTGTTAAATCCTCTGAACTGACCAGAACCAGGAGGGACAACGGGAATGGAGGGGAGAAGGTCCTTGATGGTTTGTTTTTTTGGCAATGAAGTCAAGATATCAGGGTCCCAAAGGGAAGAAAAGTGCAAAAACAAGCCAGAAANCTAGCTGGGCAGCAGACGGCAATCTGTAAACATCATGAGGGAAAACACCAGTCGACACTAGACTTTTTGTTTTTTTTTTATAATTTTTTTTGTAAACACTTAATAGAGACAGACCCACAACGCCTTTCAAAGGTGAAAAAGAAAATGCCCTTTCCCTCCTGGCACGAGGGGTGAGGGGAAGGATAGCGGTTGACTCTTTCTTCTCTCAAACTCGCTCTCATCCAATTTGGTGTCCTCAGGGAGCAAGGGAGAGCCATTCTCTGGAAGTCAGTGCAGGAGGGGTGCCCTGTCCCCACTGGTGTCCCCAGCTCAGCTCTGCCCGTGGCCGATGCCTCCTCTCAGGACGGGGGGCTGGCTGTCCCTGTGTGGACCGCAATATGTAAGTCATGCTCTACTGGCCAAGGCAAGGCCAGCTGCTGGCGTCTGGATGGGTCAGCACGGAGCCCAGCATCATGCCAGGACATGGCTGGCACTCCAGCGCTGGCCCCACACCCTCTGCCTCCCCCTCGCTCTCCCCCTCACTTTCTTCTCCCTGTGTCCTCAGTGTTTAAGGTGAAGGTAAAATGAGCAAATGTCCCTGATTTGTCTGACATCACCAGCTGTTCTGGGAGTTTACTTAGAATAAATAAAATAAACCTAATGGATAATAAAAGAAAACAAAGTAACGAGAAACCTTTGGATGCGAGATGAGGAGGAGTCAGTTTTGGTTTCTCTGGGGTTTTTGACTATTTGCCAGAAAAAAGAAAGTGCCAGCCTAGAACTCAGAAGGGACAGGTGGGATGGGGGACAGGAGAGGATGGTCAGTGGTAAAGCCAGGTGCCCTGGGGAAGGAACAGAGGTCACACCGGGTGGTTGAAATGGGGATACGCGTGTGCATCTCAGGGAGGAAGTTGTTGCGCTGGCCTGCTGTGGGGTTGGGGACCTGTGCAGGGCGCGGGGGTCGGGGAGGGGGTCCGAGACTGGCCTGGAGGCCTCAGATCCATCTGGAAGTGGGCCGAGGGAGGTGACCTGCAGGCAGGAAGAACCTGCAGTGAACGGCCCTCTGACAAGCACTGCAGGGCACAGCGCCCCATCCTGCAGACCATCCTGCGTAAGTGCGATGATCCGGGGATGGGGAGAGATTATCTGTCCCCAGAGAAGCTGAGACCCACAGAGGGGAAGACCTGCCCTAGCTGCCCCTCGAGCACAAGGCAGAGCTGGGGTGCAAACCTGGGGCCAGGCCCAGAGCTCATGCTGGTGCTCCTACCCAGCACATCCCAAGGGCATCTTCTGGAACCTTCTTCAGGGAGCTTCATCTAGATATCTGGAATATGCTGGTCTTTTCCCCAGCTAATCTAATGCTACAGCAGGTTCTCCTCTGTAACCCTGTGTGAGTCTGTACTTGTTACCCTTCCCAGTGAATCGCCACCGCCACCCCCACCCCACAGAACCGCTGAAGGGTGAGATGCTCCCCCCTCTCTCTGCTCCTCTCAGGGGTGTGTGTATAAGGGTGACTCAGCCCCTGCCACCAGGCCCCAGGGTGACTCAACCCCAAGCCTCGCGCCCAGAGCACTCCCAGCCATGGCTCACCTTTGAGAGGAGTCAGCAAGGGAGCCCAGCAGGGTCAGTCCGCAGGGTGTTCTGGACAAGATCTGTTTACCTCAAACCACGAGTCTATGCAACTGGTGTGAGGCAGGGGAGCAAGGGGAGGCACGTTACCCGCTGACAGGCCACTCTCTGGGGGCTCTTGCTAAGAGCCAGGGTTGCTAAGCTCACCTGCGAGGACCCGAGGGGACAATGAACATGTCCCTAAATACCCACTTTCTGAAGCAGAGAGAAGTGAGAACACAGAGACTGGTCTTAGCTCAGCCAGAGGCAGTCAACCTGGCAGTGGCGTACAGGATTGGGGTGGACCTGGGCCCTGCATGAAGGGGAGTGAGACGGCAACAGCTACCAGTAAGGAAGGGAGAGGGGAGGGCTTTGTTGGGCAGCTAGGTGACTATCAGGCTTGAAAGGAAGGGAACTGGGAACAAAGACCCAGCAGACTGGCCCTCACTCTGAGCTCAGGGGTCCTGGCAGGCCTCTCCTAGGTCCCAGAAGCAACCTGAGGTTCCCTTCTTAGCAGAGGACTTCTCAGGAGACCCCCAAGCTCTACCTGGCTCTGATGGTTGTGGCTGGCAGCATCTGTCCCTTCCCGGAGAAGGTGGGAAGGGGAGGATGGACCCTCTGGCTTAGTGACATTAATAAGGGGAGGCTGACAGTGAAACGCTGGTCTCCAGGGTTTACAGAAAGGACTGTCTGAACCAGAGAGGAAACAGAGATTGCCCCAAGACAGCTTTCTGATTTGTAAACCAACATCTGGGTATTTTCAAAGACAGGAACCAGACAGATAATTTGCATAATTCTTCCCCAGAGCCAGACTCCCTTCTCCTGGTTTTGGTTTCTGCCTCACCAGAACATGCCAGTCCTCTGTGCTGGGCCCAGTCAAGACCCCACCCCCAGGCCAACTCTGAGCCTCCCGTGCGCCAGCCACATCCGTGTGCTGGGTACCACAATTGCCCTGTGGCCAGTGGCCCTGTGAGTCACACTTTGGAAAAGCTTTTGTGTCAGGAAGAAGCTCTGGGGCTCGAGAAGCTGAGAGCAGGTGGCAGCCATCAGGCAGCACAGGGCGTCCTCCTGTCTTGGGTAAGGAGGTGTCTTCTTTCCAGTTGGACACCAGAACAAGGACTGTGCTGGAGCCTAAGGATGGCGCTCGGCCCTGCTAATAATGGCAGCTCTTAGTGCCAAGGCCCACAGGTAGTGGTTGTTCCTGCCCTTGGCCCTCTGTGGGGGAGGGGGCTCGGGCAGCAAGTGCACCCTTCCGTGCCGCCTCTCTCACACAGGTGAGGGTCCTCACTGTGTGGAGCAGAGGGGCCCACAGAGGAAGAAAAGACTCTGGGAGATGGATGGAGATTCAACTTCCCAGGTGGGCCCTAAGCACCCCCACCCTGTGGGGCCCACAGGTCTGCCCTCAGCCCCACCTTTCCAGGCTGCTAAGCCAGAGCAAAACCACTTTGCTCTGTATTCGGCAGGCTGAGACCTTCTGCGTGTTGGCCTCTGCCTCAACCCCATGCAGAGCCTTTGAGAGGAGGAGAGATGGTCCCACCACTGAAGGGGACAGAATGGCTAGTGGTGAGGGTCTGCCCTTCTCTGCCCCGCCTGCAGGGAGGGAGCCACCTGGGATCTGGGGTCAGCCAAGCCGGCGGGATGCCCCTCGTACCTCTTGTGATAAATGCACAGGCAGGGCAGCCTGGCTATCGTGTCCCCCTGAAGCAGCTCCTCCAGGCAGATCACACACTCACCCGCATCTTTAGTCAGCACGTCATCTGCAAAGGGGGCACAGAGGGTGGGAGAGGGTCAGTCACCAGTAGGTGGGCAGCACGGAGCAGGTACACATACATCTAGGAACTGGTTGGGGCTGTTTGGGTCACCCAGTGTGCAAGGCTCTGTGGCAGACACAGAAGCCCAAGATGAACCTTGACCTGAAGGCCCTCACTGCAGGATGAGACATGCACAACACATGTCAATCATCAAATAGTGAACCGAGGAGAGGGGATGGTAAAGGCTTGGAGAGGGACACACATGGTGCAGCGGCAGTACAAGGCAAATAGTCTCCCTGAAGAGTCCTTCCCCCTTGACATACACACACAGACTGGGTGTGCTGACTTCTGGATTGGGAAAAATGGCGATGGGGAGAGTGGTACACAGAAAGAATGAATGGAAGAAACAGGTACTCTAGCAAATACTTGCACATGCATGTCCCCAGCAGCACTATTTACAACAGCCAACAAACAGAAACCAAAATATTCACCAACTGATGAATGGATAACAAAATGCAGCATGCCCGTGGGACAGAGCGCCACTCAGCAGGTAGAGGAATGCAGGACTGCCGCGCGCATGCTACCGTGTGGGGGCACCTCCGAAACACCAGGCTAACTGAACAAGGCCAGACACAAAGGGCCACGTTATATGAAATGTCCTAAGTGAACAAATTCATAGAGACAAGAAACAAATCAGGGGCTGGGGACCGGAGGGAATGGGGAGCTACCATTAAAAGAGTAAGGAGTTTTCTTTTCTGGTTTTGTTCAGAACATTTCACAGGAAACCTACCCTCCTGACAGACTGGTAAGTTTACAGCCTAGGGTTTGTCCATACAGGCGGACATTTTTTTAGCAGTGCTCTAGAACTTCCCTTCATACCCGCGGAACAGCAACTCCCTGTTTCCCTTTCCCCTCAGCCTCTGGCAACCATGTTCTACTGTCTGGCTCTGTGAAGCTATTTCAGATATTTCACCCAAGTGTGATCGTGCAAGGGATTATCTTTTGGGGTGATGAAAATATCCATAACTAGATAGAGATGGCAACTGCAAGACACTGTGAATGTCCTAAATGCCACTAAGTTGTACAACTCCATTTTTAAAAAAGACTGCTCAGGCCCCCCCAGAAAGAATGAATGCGAGCAAGCTACTGCCCACCACAGGCCCATGGCAAAGCCATGGCTGAGGAGCCCAAGCAAAACGGGGGACACCATGGCCACGCCAGAAGTCCTTTATTAATTTCTATGACAGTCAGGGGACAGGCGACTCAGTGAATAAGCTTTGGTCTCAAGACTGAAAAAACTCAAAGTCTAGCAGAGAGGTCAGACAAGAAAACAGAAATGAACAGTGCAGGAATTTCTAGAAGTCTTACAATGCATGTGGGACTAGGTATGAGAGGTATGCAAGATGCCTAACTGGGGTGGAGAACATTCAGGGAAGGATGTTCCAGGCCAAGGGAACAGTATCTGCCCACCTGGGAACTCAGGAAGTTTGCTATGGCAGGTGCAGAGACGTGCAGGGCCCAGGCAGGAAGGGCAGACCAACTCCCCAAGGATGGACTCGTTTCCTGCTATGGTGCCTGGGTTTTATCTGGTTCACTGTGAAGCCCTGGAGATGCACTTCAATCACATATGGCCTCTGGAAATGCCTGGAGAATGGACTGGAAGAGTCCAAGATGGGGAGAACACTCTGCAGGCCGACACAGCAGTGCGGGTGAGATAACTCAAGGAGAACGTGCCCTGTGCTGATGAGGGCAGCTGGGCAAATGGTGGGGCACTTGTCACTATGAGAGGAGACCCAGGAGGAGGAGGACAAGCATGAGAAGGAAGTGAAACTCAGAGTTGGGTGTGACACTAATCGGAACCTCCAGGAGTCGGTATGAGTGTAGGTCTGGGATTTAGAAGTCAGATGTGGGCAACAGTGGTAGACGTACGATAAAGAAACTAGACCAAAATCTGAGGAAGGCAGAAGACAGAACCAGGTTAACTCTAACATTTTAAAGACAGGTCAGAGGGAAGCAGGTTACCCAGAGTTTCCAAAACCACAGGAGAAAGGGGTCATGGATGTGAGAAAGGAGAGCATGAAGCAGGAACACCTGCTGAAAGGTGTTCCGTGGTGGTGAACCCTGCCAGTGACACATACTGAGATTCTGTGTGCGTGCGTGTTCAAAGGAGCCTCACAACCTCATGAGCTAGGCAGGGTATGTGGTGTGGTTTCCATTTTGCAAGTGAGGGTACTGAGGCCAGAAAGGCCAAATGCCCTGATTGCCAGGGGGCTGGTCATCTGCAGGGCCTGGACTGTTTGCTTGGCACCCTCCTCCGCCACTGTGCCCTTTGGTTACTTTGGTGGAAAGGGCGACATCTGTGGCTCATAAAATGAGGATTCTTCAGAGTCTGGAAAGCCATGGTGACTCCAAGCCTAGAAGGAACCCCAAGGAAAAAGCCTGGTCGATGCCTAAGTCCCCATGCAGCAAGCTGTCAGAGAAGTCATCTTGGCTTCCTGGCCACTAGGATACCCTGTGGGCACTCTGTTAGCATCTGGCAAAGCACAGGCCCACTGAAAGGGAGATGCAAAGAGAAAAAGCAGATGGCACATAATTAATCTGCCAGTGAGGTGGAACCTCACACTCCAAATGTGGTAAATGGCAGAAGAATGAGACTGGGCAGCTGCCCCTCCACAGGGGCACACAGTGGGGAGCACATCTCGCGGGTACCCAGAGTCCTGGCTGCAAAAGGCTGCCCGGAGGTCCCAGGGTGGGGAGGAGTCAGAGACTTGGAAAGTGACAGCGTGGGGAAGCCGGCTGCACCCACACCCAGCGCACTGCCCAGCTTTCTTCCTGCAGCGGAAGGCACGAGGTGCACAAACCCGCAACAGGCCTGAGTGGGCTGAGTGAAACTTCCTGTCCCGATCCCTGGGGCTCTGGGACTTCGCAGCCTCCAGATGTCCCAGGAGCCCAAAGGCTAAAGCTGAAGCTTGGCTATGGACTGTTCCCTGCAAGACTCCCATGCTCTTCTGACGGGAGCCTGCTGCCTGCCATTGAAGGACCCTGGGCCCGGCACAGATTGCAGCTACTCTGCAGTTGGAATCAAACACCCTCGGCATCCCCAGGTCTCCAGGGCACAGGGCCTCAACCAGTGCTGCTTGGTGAGAATACGATGAGGCTGCGCTGGCAGCCATTTCCTACTGCCTCCCAAGCCTCCTGAGACCACGTGCAAACAGCCCAAGGGGAGTCTGGAGTGTGTTTGGCCTGGCTGGGGGTGGCGCCACATGGTGCCAGTGCCTGTTCCTCCAAGCAGACTAAGGGATCAACCCTGAGTGGCGGGCAGAGCTCTCGGCACCACAAGGGAGGAGTAACAGGTGGGTGGGGGTGGGGGAGGGTGGTGACAACATACTTCTGCTCCTCCCTGAGATGCAGGGGCAGCACTTTTAACAGAGAACAGAGATCTACGAGGGGGAGAAGCCCTCACTTTGGGGCTGGTCAGGACTTCAGAGAGAAGTTAGTGAACCCTCAAGACCCTGTGGGGGCTGCCTTAGGATCCACTCCCACAGCAGGCAAGTGGCCGTGACTGCCAAGCCCACTTTCTGCCCCTCAGCCACCTGGCCCCCTTTTCCTTCACAGACCAGGCCACAGCGTCTCTTCCCCTGGGGCTAGAAACACATCTCACAGCTTCAGATCTTTTCTCTTTGTACGTATGTGTGGGTTCCGGGACCCAAGAGGAGTGGAGGAACCTAGGAGCTCATAGCGAAGAGGCCAGATTTCCGTTGCTGCTCCACTGCCCTAGGCGTGCCGCTTGCGGGGTTAGCTTCCCTGGAGAGAGGTTGACTCAAACGCTCCCCAGAGGACCCCCAGAGTTGCTGGTGGCGTGCGAGGGTAGAGAGACCCAAATGGCTGCTGATACGTTTCTGCTGGCAGCTGGAGGGAAGGCTGATGCTGTGCAGCTTGGAGCCAGAAGCTGAGAGCAGGCCCATAACACACTTCCCCTTGTGCCTGATGGCAGTCAAGCCCCCGTGGGAAGGAAGGTGGGAGCCAGAGGGAGAACCTCCAGCAACTGACGCAGACACCCAGGCTCCACCCCCTGGCCTCATTTCCAGCCCAGGTGTGGAAAAGCCTGGTCTTGCAGCCTCTTCGGTTTGCACAGAGCTGCTGGCTCAGTCTCCAGGGGGACGGGAAGGGGCGCAGCCACCAATGCTGGCTCCCTTCTTGGGAAATCTTCAGGCAAAGGGGAGACTTTGAGAAGAGAGCTCCCCTACCAGCAGTGGCACCCCCACCCCAACACCCCAGGACCATGGACGTACCCCAATTATTCTGGCCAGTTGGGCTACAATGATGATAGCCTAGGGGGCGAGCTGAATAAAGCTCAGGCCCGGAGGGCTTTCTAAGGAGCCTTCCCATGGGAACCCCACACTCAGTGCCTTCCCCTGAGCCACAGATTCTGGTTTCCCTACATACGCCAAGCCCCCAGTGGGTCTCCTCCCACCACCTGTTCCTCCTTCACCCAGTGGCCTGTGGGGCAGCAGCAGCCAGGAGCTCTCTCCTCCTACACTGAGGCAGATGCCTCCCCAGCCATACCCTGCCACTGCTACAGCACCTGGGAGCTTTGAGCAGCACCCGCTAGGCTGGCAAACTCCCTGGCAGGACCCAGAGTTCCCAGGCCCAGGAAGAGGACCTTCCATCCCAAGCAAGTCTCAGCAGACACCAGGCCAAAAAAGCACCATTTACACATGTCTGGTGGCTCAGCTGGGACAAACTGGCAAGAGGCACTCCTGCTTTTAGAGGAGCAATTCCCTTTCCTCTAAATAAATCCTTGTGTGACAGTTAGCATTTCAAAAACCCTGAAGTTGGGGGCAATGGCCTTTGGTAGAGAGGAGGGGAAGGCAGTCAGGACTGAAGCAGGTCATGGGTCTGCACCCAAGAAGAAAGCTGAGGGGAGAGAATCTTCTTAAGCCACCTGACAGCCACCAAGTTCCCCTTAACACTGCTGGCAAGCAGCCTGCCACACGGCTGGACTCTCCCAAGGCCAAGGGCCCCTAGCTGGTCGTGGACACCCCTCAGTAGTATGCCTCTCTTCTGTTCACAGCAGTATCAGCCCCCCACCTTGAGGCTTGCTTTGCTAGCTGAGCAATCTGATGGTCAGAATCTGTGTACATATTCTTGAGGGCAAGTCCCCTGGTTTCAGAGTCATAAACAGATGCTGGAGAGAAATTCAAAGGCCCATTCAAGCCGACCACATTTATACACCAAAATGGGTCCCACTGACTCCTTCCCCATCTCCTCAGAGCCCTGCATTCCGAGCTGCCTGTGGCAGAGAACGAAGGAGGGAACGTTCAGTGCTCCAGGGTGGTAGCTCCCCTGCCCCTCCAGGCGTTCATGAGCCCTCCCAGCCGGGCACCAGCCCGGGGAGCTCCAGTTACTGGTACCCACATTTGTCTGGAGCACTGGGTGAACCAAACTGGCCTTGCCTTTCCTAAAGTGGTTTTTTTCAATCTGGCAGGCGGCTACTGGAGGCTTTCCAACCCACGGCTCAGGCCAACCCTCATAATAAGAAAACTACTACTTTCTATCTGCCTCATTTAGGAGGTTTCTACTTTTTTTCCTTTGTTGGTTAACCAAATTTCATCTTATACAACCGCTGTAAATTGTCTAAAAATGTCCCCAATTGGTGCCAGAAAGCGTGTGTGTAGATGGGAGGTCTCCAGCGGAGTGACCAGGGGCTCCAGTGACTCTTCGTAAGGAAGCTTCTATCTTGCCCCTTCCCAGAAAGATTTCAAACTCTAATGTCACAGACTCTTGAAATCTCTGCACACTTACTTTCTAACAGAACAGATAAAGTGAGGCTGGCAAGGCTGGCATGATGAAAAATCATGGGTAAAATACGTTACTGGCAAAACCCAAATAAGTACCTAAAGGCCCCTACTTGGAACTTTGGTCTATGGCCCCACAAAGGCTGTGCTTTACCTGAACTAGAACAGGCCCTGGAGACTTCTGCTTCAAAACAAGCCAGGTGACAAACACCGTCCTCTTATCTGGAAGGTTCAGGTGTCTTCAGAAAGGACAGACTGAGGATGAGGAGTCTAGCCGTGAAGGCCGCGTTTCTGCATTAACAGTGTACACAGAAAGGGGCGAGACCATAGTTTCTGAAGCCCCTTCATCACCTTAAGACAAATCTATCGATAGGACCAGATGCAACAAGCCTCTCTTTTCAATTAGAGGAGGGAAAATACGGGAACAGAACAACAGCCGCAGTTGCCGCAGACTGGTCGGCCGACCTCCTCTTTCTCTAAGGGGACTCTAGAGCGGCTTCTCTGGATGACCTGTGCTCAGGCGCACTCCCAGGCCTGCTCTCTGATGGAGGTGAGGTGAGAAGAGAGCAGGACCCTTCTTCCCATGGCTGCTGGCAGGGAGGGAGTCCCACGAGCAGCAGCTGGCCCTTACGGGCTAATACAGAAGAGGCCCTGGAGGCGTCTGGGCAGTTCTCCAGAACAGGGGCCCGAGACCCTCACCTTCCCCATTCCCTGGTGGGTGGCTCCAAGAGCCCTCTGTCCTCCACGGCTGCTCTTGCAAAGTTCTCCCTGACGACGCCAGGAGCCCGGTCCTCTCAGGCTGAGCCCACTGAGGCTGCATTGTGTTCTCATGACAGCAAGGCACTGTCTACATGGAACTCTGCCGAGCAACCCACGGGACAAAAAATGGTCTTCAGGAGGGCTATGCACTTATTTTCATGTGAAAAATAAGTGAACACAGTTTCTGAGGCCAAGGAGGGGGAGCTGTGAACCACAGGAGAAGATGTCTCTTCCTTTGTGGGCCCAGGCAGAGACGAGAAAGAGAACAATGTGAAGTGGGGCACCCTCGAAGTGACACACACTGACAAGTCTGACAGGAAGCCTGACAACAGAACCAGAGATGAGGCGGCAGGCAGTCCCCAGGGCCAGGGAGAGGCTGTCCACTGGGGAGCAGAGGGGCTTCCCCGACACCATGTAAGAGAGGAAAGAGAAGGAAATACTGGGGGCAGAGACAGGACACAACCTTCCCAGCAGCTGGTTCTCCAGCTGAGCAAAAGTTACCAGAGTGCATGTAGCTGAGACACATTGGTAAGTGGACCACCCACATGTATCCAGAATCTTTTGGCTGAGCAAATAAATAAGAGATAAAGAGAATAGGAGCATGTGTTTCCGGAGAACTGAGTAGATCACACTTGTCAGATTACTTTGCAGGAACAATCTGGAATCATCAGGCTTCCCTAGGCTAAGGCCTTGTGGGGGAAGGAGGACATCTGGGACTGGGGACGCAGGGGTCCAAGGATGGGTCTGTAAGGAGAGTGCACCCAGGAAACTTGCCGTCACGTTGGGGGTCAGTCAATTCAGTCTCACCTCCTTCTTAGTCCTCAGACTTCCTGAGAAATCACAGAACTCACTTCCTAAGCATTGTTGTGACTTTACTCCTAGAAGCTGGGCCCAGTGACGTGGTCAGGGTGCACTCACTCAGATACAATGCCTGTTTTGGTAGCAGATGCAATTCTCTGATGAACATGGTTTGCAGACCAGACAAAGCACATGAGAATGGAACCCCAGAGAGCTGCCAGCAGCACAGCAGTAAAGGGAAGCTAGTCTACTCTGGAAAATGGCGAGAAGAAACCACAGATGGTCTCACATCTTTTAGGGAGGGTGTCCCTACCAATAGCAGCTGAAACTTTCTGAGCACTGACAATGTGACAGGCTCTGTGTTGAAGGGTTTTAGGTGCCACATCTTATTTTATTCTGGTAATAATCCTATGAGCCAGATCTATACCCATTTTATGGGCCAGAAGACCCAGGCTCTGCTGAACTGAGCAACTTGCCAAAGATTATATAGTGTAAGTGGCAGAAGCAGGCTTTGAACTCATGTTAACTGGGCTCCAAATCCTTATTCATAGCACGTCATGTCTGTGCTCACTGACAGAAGATGTCCATACTCATTTCGTCCACACAGCTGGGACATTAGGAGCACTTGGGTTTCTGGGAGTTTCCTGGCCTGATGATCCTATGCCCTGTTGTATTCACCACTCAGCCCTGAGGCAGCCCCAAGGTAGGGAGCAGCATGGCCTGGGTGGAGGATTAGGTGGCAGATCAGTGCACTTAAGCCCTGAAGGGAGACCACATGCTGCTCGGACCCTGCCAAGGAGCGCAGGAGAACACCATGTACACCAATGGCACAGACCCCCACCCGCAGGGAGAGGTGGCAGCGCTCCAGACCCTCTGCAGCCAGGGGTGTGAACAGGCAAAGGCTGCATCTCCCAACCAGCTGTCCAAGGAAGTAACGGGGCAGAAGAAAGGGCAAAGGACTATCCGAACGACCCGAGAGACTTCAGGATGCCGCAGACCTGACCCCTGCCTTCCTTCTTCATCTCACTCCCCTTCCTCTCCAACCAGGGCAGCGAGACCCCACAACAGCTGGGCTCCTCTGCACCACTCAGACGCTCCTGCCACATGGCAGGATGGAGACACTGCCCAGAGCCATGTGAGGTTGGGAAGACCCTCACTCAGAGACTAACCCTGGCAAGCCCTTACCATTGTAGGAGAGGCGAGGTTTGCTCAGACACATTATAAAGTGCATTTCCATCTCATCGGAAGCCACAGACTTGGAGCAAATGGGGCACTTGAAACCTGAAAGAGAAGGAAACAGGATGAAACGTTTTCTCTGAGCAAACTATACCTATAATCAATGCGACACTCAAATGCCTGTAGCCATGTGGGTTTGAATCAAAAAAGATAGGCCCAAGACCTGATTTTCCCTTCATTAAGTCATGCAAAATTTTGTTATTTTATCACAACTCCCATTTTTTCCCCTAGTGTTCTCCCAGTCATATGCCCCTCACTGAAGTTTATCAGCATCACTGACAGCTGATATGAGTTTTAATTTCTTCTGGATGCTTTCCCATGGGGGTCTAGTGGGCAGTGGGCATAGGCACCAAATCATAGGCAACTAAATAAAATCAGTCTTAGAAACAGAGTTTAACACCTTAACCACTGGGCTGGATCGTGTATGGGATGAACGCCTGCAGTCTCCAGTGTTCCATCCCTCACTCGCTCTGCCTCATCATCCGTGACCAGGTGGCACCTCCCTCCCTCACCCAGAGCACCTTTGCCCCCCTGTGGCTAAAGCAGCTGTCCTCTGAGAGTGTGCGAGCAGCAGGGTGGCCATACAGAGTGCTCCCAAGTGCTGTATGTCTTAGCCATATGCCATTAAGAATAACAGGTGTTTTACAACGCTGAGCGAACACAGGGTGTTAGGACCCCATTCTATTCCCAAAGAAGTTTGGACTGCTTATACACCCAAGTTTCATCAAGTTGTATCAGTACTGAAGATTTTGGTTGAGAATTTTCTGTGTTGAACTCAATTAAGCAAACATTGATTAAGTCCCTTCATTTTTTGTTAACTTTTTTGTAGATAAACACAGACAAACTATTTCCAATTTCCCCCATTTTAATTGTATGGAAACAATTTTCAAGTGGATTGCCATTCTACCAAAAAGATCCAAAACTTAATTATTTGTCCGTATTTTACATACCACAGCTTTTCCCTTTTGTGATCCTAATTCCTACCTACCCAGCCTGGATTTCCTAGGTCAAATACAGCACATCTAAATATTGTTGTGAAGATTTGACTAATTCTATTGATCATTAGTCAAAATGCCCCACACACAGCTTCACTGACTGCTGGTAATATCTGTCAGCAACATTTCTTCTGAAACAGATAAAAAGCTGACATTTGTGTTGACCGCCAGTTGCTCCTGGACAGAGGAGGAGGTCACACCCTTAGCAGTGTCCTTCCTGGGCCTCGCACATTCTGTTTGGAAAGTCCTGGACTCTGACAGCTGGTGGTGCTGAGACAGGAAGCAAGCTGGCTCCCATGTCGCTATGTACTTTGCTTAAAGTCTTCTCCAAACCATCCTCTTCTCAGTGACAACGCTCCAAACACAGGACCAGACAGAAAATCCAGGGTCTGGCTAACTGTGGACAGTGTGGACCTTGGACTCTGTGGCATAGTCCCCGTTCCCCCAACTCCTTTCCTCAAAGATCTTTAGCATCTAAGCGTCTCAGCTATAAAGTCTTGGAAGTGTTATCAACCCAAGGATTCCGGCCAAGCTTTGGGTAAGGGCTGTCTTTTCTGATCTCTGGGTGGTTCCAAACGCATTAACAACACAACCGGAAGACTGAAAAAACAAAACAAACCATGGCGCCGGAGGGTCCATCCTTAGTTTTCTGGCAAAACTAGATCTCCAATGTGCCAGGCTGATTCTTTTCTAACCCAGTTTCAACAGACCCAGTGTTCTACACATGGTGAACAGGTGAGTAATGAATTTGAGTCTTACAGATGAGAATGTCTTCACATCTAACCTAAGCACCTCTGCACCCTTGGGTCTGCCCTCATGCCTGTACCCTGCAAACAAAACAATACTCACATCAAATAACATCCCACAGAATGACCTCCATTGGAGATTGTCTCATTTTCTTCAATTCAGCTAGTCACCTTCTCTTCCTACTCAGAATACCAAGGTTTTACAACATTTTAGGTGACTGTAAGATACTCACACTTTTAAAATTTGCTAAGTTAGTACCTCTCTGCAGGCTGAGGACTCAGGACTGGGGGCAGGCCAGGACGGCTGTGTATGGGACCAGGTCCTCTAACACCAGGCCCGGATGCAGCCCCTGGGAGGTGTTAGAGTGATTTGTTAGTAACAAAAGGCCTTACACCTTGCACATTACTCACTACTCTGATAACTTAGAACACATTCACAGTTAGTGCAAGAGTAGCATCAGTCAATCCTTGTACCCAACCCATTCCTTGAGTGCTGGAGAGGGAGTTGAGTTACAGCTAAGGTACCGGGAAGCAGGCCACCCAACAAGAGGACTACAAGGGAATGTCACTGGACATCTATATTCCAGAGAAAAACAAGTTGAGACTCACAGGTTTAGACCAGTCCCCTCACTGTACAGATAAAGAAAGAGGTCCCAGTGAGGCCATGAGGCCAAACAACTAAAAGGACAGTGCTGGGACCAGAATCAGATTTCTTCCCTCCCAAACTAAAGTCCTTTTCCATCAGGGAAGAAAGAGCTGACCATAGACGTGATACTGTGATTTATAGTAAGAAATACATTTTTGGTCTTTGTCCTGTTTTTGACACAGAGCTCACGCAAAGCCTTGGAATTTCCTAACATAGTAAGACCAGTAATATTTCATCTTTTGTCATGGTTCCCCAAGTAGCTCCAGAGCAGTAAGGTGAAGGGCGTGTCTTGTTATTCATAACACACTGCAGTTTACATTAATGAGGTGACTTTTGGAAAGTCCCTTGGTAAAGTAAGGATGGGGGCTGGTTGCCAGGGGAGCCAACCAGCTGATGAGAGGATTGGAACTTTCAGGTCCCCCCCAACATGACCTCCGGGGAGGGGAGAGGGGCAGGAGATGGAGTTCTGTCACCAATGGCCAACTTAATCAGTCATGCCTATGAATGAAGTCTCCAATAAACCCTAAGGGCAGGGTTCAGAGAGCTTCCAGGCTGGTGACACCTGGACATTCGGACAGAATGATGCCCCTGCAGAGCACCTGGAAGGCTGCATCCTTTCTCATATACCTGGCCCTATATGTATGTCTTCCATCTGGCTGTTTCTGAGCTATATATCCTTTTAAAATAAAATGGTGATCTACTAAGTAAAAGGTTTCTCTGAGCTCTGTGAGCTGCTCTAGCAAATAAAATGAACTCAAGGAGGGAGTTGTGGGAACCCCCAATTAACAGCCAGTCAGGCAGAAGCACAGGGACAACCTGGGCTTGTGACTGGGGTCTGAAGTGGAAGCAGTCTGTGGAACCGAGCCCCTGGCCTGTGGGATCTGATGCTATATCCAGGCTGGCAGTGTTGGGATTGATTCAATTGCTTGGTGGTACGGGGAAAACACACCATGGGTTTTAAGAAAGAGGTGAGTTGGAGAGGAAGTGTCATTGTGGTAGGAAGAGAGACCCTCATTCCAGCAAAAGCACGGTTAATGTTACTTGTATCACCTACCTTTGGATTCTGGGGGAGTGGGTAAGGCTCAAGTCAGAGTCTATTGTGTGAGCAGGAAATACCAAGACGACCTGGATTTTCCGGCTGCCAGACCTTGGCATGCAATCTACCCTCCCTAGACCATGGTTTCCTCACCTGAAAAACAGTTATTTACCTCACTTTGCAAGGATCAAGGGAGATAAGAAACCTGAAGGCACGCTAAAAGGACACTTTTCAAATGTACGGTGGCATCATCACCAAGCATGGCGGCACTAATGAGGAGGAAGGAATTGGAGGGCTGCAGGAAGGGTTCAGGGGGCTGAGATGCGGGTGATGGGCCAGCAGGGAACACAGGCTACAGGTCATGCTAGGAGGTAGCCAGTGGCCAGCTCTGCTAGTCCCATCTGTTTCCTTTGAAACTCTAGAGCACTGTGTGTGGTGTTTTCCATACCAGCAATATGGAACAATGGCCCCTATTTAACCTCTACAGCATCTACTCTTGGAGTAGATGATAAAAGCATTTTTCTAGCCATTACTGTGGGCAGCCACTGGGCTTACACGTCTTCTCATTTACCATGATATGAAGGGGTACTAACATTAACTCTATTTTGGAGAAGAGCGTACCAAAGTTAGAGTCTGGCCCCAGATAATGCAGCCAAAGGGCCAGCGCTGACTCACAACACCCAGGAAGCCTGACTGCCCTTGCTCACTAGGCTGGGTGACTGTCTGACTAGTATAGGAGGAGGAATTCATGGCAAAAAGAACATAAATGCTACCCAGATGCAAGATATTACTAAAAACTAACTTCAAATCTTCCATACTGTCCCCAATTTTTCCTGATGTATCCATGGTTCTAGATCATCCCATAAACTGAAACAATTGATAACTTTTCTGAGAATTCTGTTAATATAGAAGGACAGAGTCTGCTTTCCACTTGGCACTGAGTCTATTACTGGTGGTAAGACGCTGAGTTTGTAAATTATCTTTAAATGGAAAATGAAGGGCAAAAGTAAGAGGGATGGAAAAATATGGAGCACGAAGGGGAAAAAACTAACGTCCCCCACCTTCTTTCCTGCAAGGTCATCCAATGGTCAAGATGGGTTCTACCAATCTACTGCCCCAATCTGTTCTCATAATGTGTCCAGTCACGATTCAGCACCAAGAGCCCTACAGAATGATAAATACTGTGACTTTTATGAGCTATCTGAAGGCTAAAATATCCAGGAAAGTTTGATGCCCTTTTGGAAAAAAGTCCAAACTCAATTAAAATCAACCCCTGCAAACAAAGATAACCCAAAAGTCCACAAAGTCATCCAATTGGCTTGATTTTGTCAATGTCCTGAGACCTTCATCAGCATTCGCTAAGTGTGTGGAAGAATGCTTTATTTTTCTGAGAAAGCTACAGGTGGAGCCTGTGGGACGTCCCCTACAGCACCTGAGCCCAGATGGCCCACAGCACCCTAGGAGATGGGCAAGGAGACAGCAAGTGCCTCGGTGGCCTTTCCCAGGACCCCAACCCCTACCGTCTACTTCCTTCCAGGGGCGGCACCCCCCACACTGCTGTGTCTCTCGTATTTGCCACTGACAGAATGCAGAGAGGCTTTGGCTAGCTCAGGCTTACCAGC